CAATTTATTTCATCTGCAAGCGGTAGGCATTATGAGCTTGACAAGTCCCTGCGTCAAGGAAACTGACATTACTTTTTGCGCCTCCAAGTCGCGTTGTTGGCATCAACCCATTCCACCAGGCCTGTCACACCTTCATCCTCGGCCGGTTCTGCGAATGGCCGCCAGTTAGCGCCGACACATCACACCGTGTTACAGTTGGAATCCCCTGTCCTGTGCATCCGTTCTCGCGCCTCCCACCTCCACCTGTTGCGGCCCGTCACTGCCACCGGCGCCCTCCCCCTCTCTCTCTCTCTCTCTCTCTCTCTCTCTCTCTCTCTCTCTCTCTCTCTCCCTCTCTCTCTCTCTCTCTCTCTCCCTCTCTTCGTCGGTGACGTCGTCTCTCTGCAGAAATGCCACACGGCGCCGAGCAGCCGTCAACAGCGCGGGCCGCGAGTGCCACCGCCGCGGCAGTCGGTACTTACACAAACACCCTGAGGGTCTCCGCGGACCGCCTCCCCCCCCCCGGGGGGAGGGGGGATGACCCCGACCGACCCTGACACGGGGTCCGACACGCGCCGCGCCGGCCGCCAACCATCACACACGCGCCAGACCCGACGCGACGGGCCAACAGAGAGCGCGCACCGAGAGGGTATCCACTGTCACCGGGGTGAGGATAGGTGTCAGCTGTCAGGACAGCCCGGGAGGGAGGGTATCCACTGTCACCGGTACGCCGAGCAGGTGTCAGCTGTCAGGACAGCTCAGGAGGGAGGTCATCACGGCAATACGGCATGTCAATTTTCACCTAAAGGCATCCGGTTGTGTTACATAGTACCTACATACTAAGTAGCTCGGCGTGAATGTGTTCGTTCGGGCTTCATGAACTCGTGAATTTGTCAGACTCCAGAGAAAGTGTTTTAAGCAAAGAGGACATCACACGCAAGATATCGAACTGTCTAAGCCACTGCCATACAACATGCCATCGCAAAAAGGGCCGTTTTTATTCAAGGGAATAAAGCCAAGCCTTGCTTGTCACCGTAAACACGGTTTCCTTGACCACAACATATCATGCTATTGAAAATAGCAAGATTGCCAAAACACTTCACACACCCTGGAACCTGTCTCGCTGGCAGTTATTCCACGAGAGGTGTGCTCTTATCCCTGCCACCCCGGTATCCGCCAGGCGCGGCCTGAGCGGGCGATCATCTTCTCCTCACGCCCTCGCGTCACGAGGCGTGCCATCCGTCCGTGACGCGTCATCACGCCGTGCTAATCGGGCGGGGAGCGTGACGATATGTCCGGAGAAGTCCACGGCGGATTGAGGATTGAAGTGTAAGGAATGAGGCTGATGACTCAGTCCCGACGAGGATTTAGGCACTGCAGTGCATAGGGACGCTCGTGATACGAAGATGTCATGGAATGGGGGTCGGTTTTTGCTGACTGCATGACAAGTGGATTGTGGAATCGGGGATAATGAGGAGAGCTACGGAAGGCACAGACACTGGGAGCGGCGGCTGATACACTAACGATGACGGTGACGCTGATAGTGATGGTGGCGGGGGCGGTGACAGTGACAGTGACAGTGACAGTGACAGTAAAGCTCCCCCGGAGACGGTGGTACGGGGACCCGCAGTTGCTACTGTACAGCGACCCTGAGTAAATTGTCTCAGCACCCTCACAGTGAACAAAGATAAGCTGTCAGAGGGCACGCACAGAAAACCTCAGCTGCTCTTGTATAGGGACCGGCAGTCGATATCAATATTATCGGTTGTTACTGGACAGGACAGACGGCTAGAGTTGGGGTTCGTGTACAGTAGCAACTGCGGGTCCCCGTACCTGCGGTGACATTTCCCGTAACAGTGACGGTCACATTGACGCCGGAGACGGTGTGACGGAGCCTGTGACGGCCGTCTCTCCCGGACAGGGGGCGCGGCCCGGCACGCCACATCCGTCATCGGAGGGTCGCCGCCAAATTGGCACCGATCGCGACCCGAGATCAGCGCGACAGTCGACCCGAGATCAGCCAGACAGTCGGCCCGAGATCAGCGCGACAGTCGGACAGAGATCAGCGCGACAGTCGACCCGAGATCAGCCAGACAGTCGGCCGAGGCGTCGCCAACGGCGGGGTTTCACGGTCTGAGGCTCCACCAACGACAGGAGTAACGCCGCCCCAGGCGCCAGCAGCAGTCCGAGTAACACTGCCAACGATAGAATTGTTAACGCCGCCTGATCCGCCACCAGCAGCAGGACTCAGGAGTCACGCACCGGATAGTGTCAACAACGCAGCTCAAAGCTTGTTTGAGATTTATTACTGACTGCAGCGATGTCTACGAATACACGTACTTCATGCCATTGCCCTTTGAGCAGAAAGTAGTTTTTCAAGTCCCACTAACCACCACCCATTACCGAAACGTATAGGTATCACTCGTCACCAACACCGTAGATTGGTACGCATCGTATGCTCCGTGGACCTGTCGGCCTGCCGACCCCCCAGGGACGGGAGTGGTCGGTCGGACAGGACCGTTATCTCTGGTGCCGTCATACCCATACATACCACCCTGGTCAGACGGGGCGGATCGGTGAGTCAACTACACTAAACACGGCTGGCAAGTGACGGAGTATGACGCGGGGCTACCAGTTCACAACGCTGTACGGTGGCCAAAGTCAGGTTTGCAATCGGGGCAGCCTCACATAAATTTCGGCGGGCAGCCTTCCACGACCTGCACCCTGGCTGGAAATCTGGTGAGGTGCGCCTATGAGATGACAACGGATTTAGAAGATTAAATGATTCCGCCACTGCAACGGGTTTTCCTCCAGCAGGGTTGTGGATGAGAAGCGGTGGAAAATACGGATATGTGAGATGCGAATTGTCCTCTGACATCGGTCTGGACACGAATGGATCTTCCATCGCACGAACATAGAACATTGAACAGCAATATCCATTCATAAGTGGAGGAATCAGAGCAGCAACAGAGGAACGGCCAGTGACTCAGCCCTGTTGAAAGGGACGTTTACCTGGCCCGGTTCGCACGACCTTGCCACCTACGAAACACACCGCACGTACCAAAGACGTCACGTCGAAATGTAGCAAAACACACGGGGGCAAACAACGGCAAGTGCCGATCCACATAACAAAAGCGCCGTGGTTTATCCCACCAACGCGCTCCTACAGTTTACTGGTGTCGGAAGACATGTTGGTTTGGTGGATCATTTGGATGAACAGACCTTGCGCTGTTGTACTTGAGGCGTGAGGCACCCGGTCGAGCCACATTTGTTTGCGGTGGTCGCAAAACCATCCAAGACAACACGGCTGGCCGGCGACCCTTAGCAATGTCGACTCATCGGCCACAATGGGCTTATTATGGGCCACTAAAACGAGTTGATGAGTCACTCAGTGTTTGTGAGACGCGTCAGCCCGGTGCGTCGTATACGGCCCCCGGTCTGAGTCAGTGCTCCCTCGCTCCTACAATGTTTCGCCGTACGATCAGTGGGCGGCATCAGTTTTCCCACGACTCGAGTCACCTGCACCCTACATTACCACCGTCCATCCAACAACAACAAAACCACTCAACCCCTGCCCAACAATAACAAACCGGCTCATCCGCCGTCGGTGCCGGCGTCCCACAATACCCGGCAGCTCTGGCCGCGGTGGACCTCTCCACCGCGGCAGCCAATTCATCGAGTGGTGGTCCGCCGCCGTATTTGCTGTGACACCACGTCAGCCCGAATCGACGCCGGCGGCGGCCACAACGGCGCGGCTGGTAGACTCACCAGCCCGTGCAATACCGGCAATGGTGCGAGCTGGCTCGACAGTCACCAGCCCGGTGTGCTACTGTCGCCCGCTAGCCGGCCCCAGCCAGGCAGCACGTGCTCGGTACTCCTGCCAAGCGGGCCGCCGGCCCCGCTACGCTTCCTTCACCGCGACAGGCAGACAGACGGACTAGGTCGGACGCACCCGGAACCGGCGGGATCACAGGGATGTGGTTACAGACAGACATTTGTGCAGGAGTAGACACAGACTGAGACCGGAGTACACTAGAGGGTACAGAGTCTGGGGGGATACGGAACAGGGACCGACAGATAGTGCGTGTGGGGCAAATGGGCATGCAATCGTGATTTTTACAGAAAAACAGATAAGTTGTAGCCAGTCGCTGATGTTTGGGCATTGGGAAGTCGGCGGCTTGGGTTTCAAACCAGGCTGGAAGAAGACGGTGACGGAAAGGCGGCGAAACGGAAACGCTTCACCAGTTTACGGTCGACTGTCCGGTCTCCACTGTACAGTCTAAACCAGCCATAATCTGTTTAAAAGTCAATGGTCTATCGCCTATCGTTTATCGTCCACCGTCAGCGCAAGATCTATCGCCAAACGACAGATCGCTTGGTGATATCATTATCTGTCAGCCGTCCACGGAAAACAGAGCCGGTACAATTTGTCCAGTCTATCATTTATCGTCTATTGTGGAGGTCCTATATGTCTACCTTCACCGTGCACCGTACAATGGTTCACCATCTACCATCTACCGTCTATCGGACACCAAACACCGCCCACCGGTCCACAGTCCACCGCCCACCGCCCACCGTCCACCGTCCACCGTCCACCGCCCACCGCCCACCGTCCACCATCCACCATCCACCCCACCGTCCACAGTCCACCGCCCACCGGCTGGCAGCGGCTCGGTCAGAGACAAGCAGCTGCCCTCATGGGGCCGACTGTCGGCGCCGGCAGCGGGCGCGTGCCAAGACCTCCGCGGCCCCTTCCGGTGGCTGGCTCAGTCGCGGACCTGACCGGCTGTCAGCCGGGGCCGCGCGGGTCGCGATGGACCGCCCTCTCGGCCGCGACCACCAGCACACCCGACCACAAACGCTACTGAGAAAAACCGTACAGATCCAGCAAGCCCTCGCGGTGATTGATAATCAGAGTTCCGCAGGGCGTTCCAGTTATAGTCATGGGTGTGATTTAGTGAAACTGATCCTGAGATGTTCAAAGAGTGCGTTTCGTGCGTGTGTTCTGTGGGTGGCCTTACCGTACTGTGGGGTTGACCATTGTGCTCCTGGCGGCGATCAGGCTGCTCTCGCCCATCGGCGAGAGCTGGAGAGGGACTGATCCCCGGTCACGGCGCTGGGGTGTGACCGGTGACCCGACACACTGACCCGGTCACTGGCTCCGGCCGGTCACCGGCGGTCACTGATCAGTGATCTGCAGCGGACTCTGGGTCACTTGTTTCCAATCACAACCGTAGGGTCACCAACACTGCTTCCGACCTCACCCAGGTCAAGTGACCTCTTAGAGGTCAAGGGCATGCACAAGTATCACAACAGATGCCACCACGTGACTCCAAATCACTGAACGTGCGCCCGTCACCACCAACAGCTCCGTCAGTCTATCATACACGCCGACCGCCGGCCGACGCTCCAGTGCAGCGGCCGGTCCCGGAGACGGCCCTGGAGGGTCTCAGCGGCCACCTGCGTCACCGGCCACCGTCACGGGGACAACACGGGCCGCTGTTTCGCCACCGCTGCGTCGCCGGTCGCGCGGCCAGTTGGCACGGTCGCCGTGCCGCCGCTGCCCTCCTCACCTCACACTCGCTGTCTCACTGGCACACAACAGGGACAAGCTGAGAGGCTGCCGCGCTCCGAGCCGTCGTACGCAGCCAGTGCCGACCTCCCGACGACTTTCACACACCCTGGCTGTCAGCTCACTGCGCCAGTCGATTCATAATGCGACGGCGCTCATGTCGAATAAGGCGTTATCGGGCCCCTGGCGCGGCCGGTGCCGCTCTTGCGCAAACTCAGCCCGATCTCTCATTCAATCCGACGACCCGCTTGCCAAATTGGCCAGCGAGCGCGGCGGCCGTCCTGACACACTGCTGGCGCACACACCTGGCTCGTCGCGTCGCGGTCGACACGGCACCCCTCGACAGCGCCCTGCTTTGAACTGGCCGGCGCCGCGGCACTACCGACGGCCAGCTGACCGGACCACCTGCCTGCCGCCTGGCGGCCGACCCCGCAAACCCACACGGCCGCCGAGCGATGGGTGCAGAGCTGACGGCCACAGCGGCGAAGGCGACGGCGACGGGAGGAGGGGGGGGGGGGGGGGGGGTCACAAGTCGTGACGTTTCAGGTTTACAAACAATAACACAGAGCGTAGCAATAGTCGTGCTCGTGCCTTGTAGCCTGCGTTACTGGTAGGTAGGTACTGGGTATTCTGGTAAGGAAATGCTAAACATGACGTTAGATCAGGCAGCTTGAGAACCAAGCTCACCCGGCCACTAGTTGCTACATCCGGCCAGAAATACATGAACAAACTCGGAACTCCTATGTGCGACTGAGCTGAATCAATTACTGAATGACGGCCAGTGTACGAGTATGAGTTACTGGACTGACTACGGACAATACAAAACTGGCGCGCGAGGTTGCCCGACCGACGTAATTCCAGTCAACAAGAGGCGACCAATGACCGAGCCGGAGTGGGGCACTTCGGTTCCTTACCATGCTGTCCACCTCCCCATACGTCACTGAAAGGGTCACCGGCATCCCCATCCACACCCGCACCTCGGTCCCCCGTCACCAGCCGGGTCAGACGCCGAGTGACCCACTGTCGGTGGATGAGCCTCAACTCAGGCTGCCTGTAGAATAGCAACGACTGGAGACGGTGGACAATGGTCCGACGGAGGGTCGCAGGATGCGCCACATGTCACCGACGTGGTCCTCTCAGCATGCCGACGAGCTCACTCAGGTCACAGAGTGACCCGACCGGCGCGACCGGCGGACAGACGGCAAAACAAGACGGGAGACCAGCCGCGCATCCGTGGTCCGCATGGATGGCCGACTGTGCGGCAAAAACAAGGATGGCCGGTGCTTGGAGTCACTTGGAGATGAAAGCCACTAGTATACCTGGTTCATTCTACAAGGGAAGATTACCTCAGCATGCGCAAATAAAAAGGAACTCATTTGCGTTCGTGTTGATCGTGAAATTGCGCGGGGCCTCGCTACATCACACGACCCAACCTTGACATGGCATTAACAGTATGTCACTATCAGTTATCACACTATGATGGCAACAAAGTACAAACTCGTGATGTCGGGCCGACTCTATCGGTCAACAGAAAGTTGAATTGTCGATAAGAACAGTTTCGGAGCGAAGGCAGATTAAAAAAAGGAAATCGAGGAATCATGGCTCTAAAACTTACCGCATCACATTAAATACAAAAATAAACGACAAGCAATGGTGCAAGAACGTTTTCAGCACCAATGCAAATTGTCTCTTGACAACGGAGCAACGTATCCAGTGACTTGGTGACTGGCGGGCGGCTTATGCATAGCAGGCAGGGTGGGAGCGCCGGGAGCGGACTACCAAATGTTTGGCCCCGCAGCCCACCGCTCAACACCCACCTGCACGCTATATTCACCGCCTGTTTCTACACGAAGAGCACTTCATCAGCGCCACACCCTTTTTTCCGCCGCCCGCCAACAGGTCTGGAGAAGTGGAGAGCTGTTGATCGCCTATTTCTGGTCGGCAGCGGCGTTTTCGGGCGATCTCCGCAATGTTTACCGCTAACGCCGACAGAGAAGAGGACGGCCCGGGGCGGCGCTCGCTCAGCCCTGCCAGCGCTGTCTGCTAACCGAGGGTCGCAGCCCGGCCCTGAGGTCACCGGGAGGGTTCTCGGGAAGGGGTGACACTTCTCGGCAGTGCTGGTGACGTTTCGACGCCTGCACGCGCCACAAACACCGCTGGTGCGCAACCATTGCCGCCGCGCCCTGTTAATTGCCGCACGGTGCCAGATTCGCCGCCGGCGCGCCAAAACACGTCACGGAGCAGCGCGGACCTCAATCGGCACCAGCAACACGCCAAATTATGTGAACGGTCAACGGTGCCAGTGTTGTGCGCAATTACGAACTAACAGCACTTTGATAACATGTTGGTAACATAACATGGCAATCGTCAAAATACAGTACCGTTGCATACAAATTGCTAGTATTTATTTTTGTTTACAGCTGTACCTAACATTTGAAGTTTTTTTTTTCGAGCGTACTTCTATCTAATTAGCAAATTTCATACGACGGAAGAAATGCCTATTTAAGTGTCTGACTTGGGCATTGCCCCATCCCACCTCACCCTGATCGGTCGTGTCTGGTTTATCTACCGTTTTGTGTTCTTCACATCCATGTTAGGCTCATCGCCAATCGGGGGCCAGAGAGGGTGACATGCTCCGCGCACACGGCGCGGCGGTTGACTTCAAGGGTCACGACGAGCCGAGGGCGCAGTGCCGCAGTTTGAGTTGGCAGGGGAGCACTCGACAGGGCAGTGTGTGCCCCCCAGGGCGAAAGGCCGGCTGAGCTGTCAAAATAAGGCCCCGAACCACTCTGGGCCTGGGTGCTGTCCAAACGTCACAGCGCTGCCAAATAACAAACCGAACTCCTCGAAGAGCCGGGACACGCACCGTCCTCTTCGGTCATTCCTCTGACGTCACCACTCCCAAAAGGAGCCAGCGTCCACCTCTGACGTCATCAGAGGGACAGCGTCCACCTCTGGTGTCATCTGAGGGGCAGTATCCACCTCTGGCGTCATCATAGGGCGGACTCCACATCTGACGTCATCAGAGGGGCAGCGTCCACCTCTTACGTCATCAGAGGGACGGTCTCCACCTCTGACGTCGAAGCAGAGCCAAACTCTACCTCTTACCTCATCAGAGGACCAAGCTCTTCTCCGACGTCGCCAGAGAACCAACCAGATTCCGATCGTCGCTAAAATGGATGCAAATTGCCGAACCGTTGCTCACATTGCATCCAACCAACAGATCGAGCTAAGGATCTGGAGGATTGTCTGGTTGGACTGGGGATGACAGTGTCGGGTCGAGTTCGATCACTTCTGTCTGTGTGTTCGGGTTTCCGTCAGCGCCAGCCAAGCTGCTGTCTGGGCCAGGTCTGCGGCCAGGGAACTAATGAACCCAGCCCAGCGTCAAAGAACGGTAAACAACACATCTGCCGACTACGTCACTGTCGCCCCTCTCAGTGCCGCACCCATAGACCACGAGCTGCGACCGAGGCAGACTACCCGTTATAGACAAACGGCTGCCCAGTCTCATCAAACGCAGACTGCTAGCAACTTCATGGTGGACGAGTCAACTGACAACAATTTCATATATAGCAGACTTCGGGTCTAAGTCGAGGTCAAGATTGTATAGAAACATTCGTCGACCGATTATTCAAATAAAATACCCTCATAGCACGCTTGGTGTTTTTGCCGGGGATAAAAGACACCGCCATTTTTTTAGAGCGCTGGCGGGTACCGGCGACTCGGGGTCGTCATACGATTTCGCTTCAGTAGGTCGGGAGATACACGATCACGAACGAGCTGCATACAGATGTTCGCGCTGGATACGTGAGTCGCACAATTGGCGTTCGACGAGTTCATTTTTGCCGGGCGCTTCTGTCATCAGGCAGTTTTAGCATCCCCCAGGTGACAGCTGAGGTCCGCCTGAGGATTACTATTACCCAATAAACATGCCATTTTTCTTCGAAGTGTATAGTAGAAATGGACTGGGTGAGAGAAACAGCACATATTACGCTTCTTCTTCATTTTTAGTGAGTAAGGAAGAAATACGTATGTACGGTGGAGACAGAATTAGAGATGAAGGGGAAAATGAAGGAACGGGAGAGAAAGGAGAGAACAGACGTGCATGAGGAGAGGTTAAGCGGTAGGGGAACAGAGGGAGATGATAAAAAAAAAATAGAGCGGCAGAGGTCCGTCCGTAGCGCGTCGTCCGTTTCCGGCACCGTGGCGCGCTCTGGAGAGAGAGAGAGAGGAGCGGCCGCTGCCAAGTAGCCGTCTGAAAATAGCGCCGTCATTATGAAGCACCGGTGGAAATAGCCCCGTGTACGCTGCCGGCTGATTTACGGCTCGTATTGTGCCGCGGCTGGCGGCCCGTGACTCCCGTGACAGCCCGGTCCCGCCCGGAGTCCGTATATCGTGCGGCGAGTCTGGGACACCGCGGCGGAGCCTGTTACTGCAGCTGAACACCACACAGTCAGCCAGACTCATCTGGCGAGTCTGGTCGGTGGTGAGTCTGGGTGTTTGAAGAAGTGGCTTTTAGTGAGTAAACAGCGACGTCTATGTGATATACGTGAAGAGATGGCAGTTTGCAAGTCCCCCCAGCTAACACACTACTTATAAATCAGTCGATAAACACTCAGTTTTCAGCGAATCATGACCATTTAAATAAAAATAAGCCTCCTAAATTTTCCTAAAGCTCTGCATCACCAGTAGCCATCAGGTGAGCCATTGAGAAGGCTCAGATACGGCCTCTCATACGACGCTCGTATTTCTGCAGCTGTGTGGTTTGGCAGCACTGGCATACAGCCGGGCCGTGACGTCATAGTCCGATGACAGATACACGTGCAAAGGCCGCACCCATGACAGCGGGGCAAGGTTGGACCAGCGGGGCAAGACTGTATCCATGACAGGGTCAGGGCTGGAGCAGAGGGACAGAACTGTACCCAAGACAGCGGAGCAGGGTCGCAGCAATAGCAATGGGGCCAGGCTGAACTACATATGCCAGCGGGACAGGGCTGGAACAGGGGGACAGGACTGTACTCATGACTGTCCCTGCCAGTTGCACAGTCAGGGGTCCCTGACTGTGGCCCTGCTAGCTCGACCCATGACTGTCCCAGCTAGCTGCACCCATGACTAACCCAGCTAGCTCGACCAATGACTGTCCCAGCCTGCTCGACCCATGACTGTGGCCCAGCCAGCTGAATGATCGGTAACCACGACCGGAAGCCTGACTGCAGCACCGCCAGGAGAGGCCGACAGAAACTGCGCTCACTCACTTCCGTGGGTTCCTCCGGACGCACGCGGACCGGATGGGCAGCCACCGCCACCGATAACAACGAACGGCGGATGGATCTTACAGTCGCAACGCGAGATAGCGATGCTTAGGCTTTTCGGATAGACTACTGGCTAGTGTGTCACTGTCGGTTTTATCGTGGTGTGGTGCAAAACGAATAACTGAAGAGCACCTGATTAGCCGTTTTCACGACGGAACTTTCGCAGAGGAACTTATTTGATACCTGAAAAGTACCTACTCTTTGAGGCCTTAACATCCCTCAAACTGAAATATTTTATGTTCAAAATAATTTTAGAAGTTTAAATCCGGGCATTCTTTGCCCTCAAATCACTTATTTATTTACAAACACAGCAATTTTCGGTTCTAGTAGCCCACCTTTCGACTATGAGGTATCAAATCAGCGTGGCAACTTGCTCCCTCTTTGCTCCCTCGGGTATCTAATTCCGGATTCTTAAAAACAATGAAAGTATTTATCGAGTTCTCTTTTATACCTATTCAGTTATGTTTTAATGGTGATTAAAATATGGCAATTTTTTTAATTACATTTCACATAAGAAAAACACGCAAAACAATGAAACAAAAATAACTACGGTGGAAATAACCAATCAGCACCTCAGTAGGATATGACGTCATACAAGAATGGTGTTGAAGGCCGTTTGCAGTCCCGGCCGGTAGGTCACGTGACCGCCGGGAGCCTCGGGTCACGCGGCGGTCGGGAGTCGGACGCGGGACGTGGTCGCGGGTGGACGCGCGGGGCATCATGCTTTGCTTTGCTTGCTTTGTCAACTTAATATAACTTACGATCGCATACGTGTGAAACCCAAACACTGCTCAGTGCCCTTAGAAATTGAGTTTTGGAAAGCTCAAGTCCCTGGCCCTGTTTCACCGGTGATAGCAGCAAGTGTCGCTATTCGTTACTGCCCTGTGACCTTTTTTTCTCCTCATGTTACCGTACCGTATTTGTTTTCCATCATTACTGTGTTGTATCCTACCTTTCCTTTACGCCCCGTCATTTTATTTTACTCATGGCAGCCCATTTGGTAACCCCTGCATCCTTCACGAATATTTTTCCTAACCGCGCCGATTTCGCTTTGTTGTCGTATTTCGTTCTGAGTTCTGTCGCCTCCGCCGCCGTGTGAGGTTGTGTACCGCCAGTGTGCTATCTGCTGCCACCACCGCCACCAATATAATTGAAGTGCTCATATATTCAAGTTTTTAAGTCAAACCAGAGAGCCGGCCCTATTTATTTCATTTTGATTTTCAACATAGTCCTCCGGGCCGGATGACTTTTTGATTTCTGTTAAATTTGCTTCTTTGATGATTTGCTGATTGATTTTGACTGATCAAGACTGAGATTGACTTGTGAATTGTGTATATCAAGATGGAGAGTGAGGCACAGCTTAAACAGAAAAGGACTGTGGCTCGAGGTAAGGCAACCAGACTGATGAAAGAGCTTGCCGAATGTGATAATTCTCAAGAGGACGACCTTGCCTTGGCAATACACCACCTTGAGCAGCACGTTGATCTGATGACCGAGATCCAGGTGAGCCTGACAAAGCTGTCTGTGCCTGATGATACCTCGCATGTTCAGGATATGCAGGATCAGATTTTCAAAGCTAAGCGTGTGCTTGCTCGTCTGGAAAGGAGCTCTGAGGTCTCTGTTGGAAGGGCTCAGTGTGTGCCGCCTTACCTGGGGGGAAAGCTGGACCTGAAGCTGCCCAAGTTCTGTGGGGATGTGGAAAAGTGGTCAGAGTTCTGGAGCCTGTTCTGTGTATCTGTCCATGACAACCCTGCTTATGCACCTGTCGAAAAGCTGGTGCACTTGAAGGCGCACCTCGTCGATCAGGCAGAGGTGGCTGTGCAGGGTCTTCCCATCACTGACCAGGGCTACTTGAAGGCTGTGGAGACCCTGAAGGAAAGGTTTGATCGCCCAGATTTGTGCATTAAGGTGCTGATGCAGAGATTGTTGTCCACCACCCCTGTGCACAGTGACAATGACTTGGTCCGCTTGCGCCGCATGATTGATGGGCTGGTTTCTGAGGTCAGGGCGCTGGAGACGATGAACGTGTTGCCCGACTCATATGCTGTCCTGCTGATGCCTGTGCTATTGTCGTGCATCCCTGAGTCATGGAAGATTGAGTGGCTGAGATGCAGTGCTGACTCATCTGATGAACTCACAGTCTTCCTGAAGTTCCTGCAGAAGGAGATGAGCATCAGGGAGGAGGCAGCTGCTCGGAGGAAGAGGATCACCAGTGAGCAGCCACCTACCGCAGCACCTGGGAAGCCGACAGTCAGCATGTTGAACGTGAGGCAGAAGAAGGGACCTGACTGGGTATGTCTGGCATGCGGAACGGGTAAGCATGGCCTGGCTGCGTGTTCGGCCTACCGCACCATGACTGTGCCTGTTCGCTGGGATGTTGTGCGCCAGGCTAAGCTCTGCTACCAGTGTCTTGGTCCCCATCTGCTGCGTGCTTGCCACAGCACCCGATGCCCATGGTGTGGTGGCCCGCACCACTCGTCATTGCACCCGCCGCCCGGAGAGCATGCAGCCCTCATGCCTACTGAGAGATGTGTGCCTGATCGCGGACCTCTGTCACCCCCTGCCGCTGCTGCTGTGTCTGAGAGTCGCATGCCTGATCGCAGACCATTGCCGCCCCCCGCTGCTGCTGGTACTTTTTCTGCCAACCAGGGACGGATGTGCATGGGCGTGCGGAGCCAGCAGCACTGCTACGTGCAGACAGCGCTCGTGGAGGTGGCTGGTCCTCGGGGCGTGCGTCTAGTACGCGCGCTGATTGACGGCGGGGCAGACGCCTCCTTCATCCGGGCTTCACTGGCTGACCAGCTGGGACTCGAGAAGGTCGGCCAGGGGACCTTCGCGTGTGTCGGATTCAAGGAAAGAGTTGAGGAGGCTCACCAGTACGACCAAGTAAGCGCGCGGCTCACTGGATACCAGAAAGGTGAGGCCGAGCTTGTGTTCTGGAGAACTGATAAGCTGTGTATGCCTGTGGGAGCTCCACCACCCATTCAGTCTCTGCCCCCAAGTGTAGAGCTTGCTGATGACTTCCGTGACGGACCTGTTGATGTTCTAATTGGGTGTGATCAGCTGTACAAGGTGGTGTTGTGGAACCAGGTGGAGGTGAATCCTGGCCTCCGGCTGGTGGAGACTGTGTTTGGGTATGTGCTCCACGGACAGTCCCCAGGCCAGCAGACGACCCGGCAGCGGCACGCCTACCGCTGTCAGCTGGTTGACGTCGAGCGAATGTGGACGCTGGACGCTGTGGGAGTCGCCGCAGAGGAGACCGCCGAGAGAGACCCACCTGTACCGACTTGGAACGCCACCGAGAACAGGTATGAGATGGGGCTAGTATGGAAGTCCGACCAGCGCCCATTGTCTAACCTGATGTTATCGAAGACCCGGACTCACCGTATGACAGAGAAGTTGAATGTTGAACAGTTCCAGGAGTACGATGACCACCTGCATCAGCTGCTGGAAGACGCCGTCATCGAGCCCGCGCAGCCGAGTCCGCCATCAGAGTTCATCTTACCGCATCGAGGACTGCACCGCAACGGCAAACTGCGAGTGGTGTTCGATGGATCAGCGCCAGACGGTGCAGGTATGAGCCTGAACTCCTACCTTGAGCCGGGAGAGAACCTGCTGCATCGTTTACCAGCTGTGCTACTTAACTTCCGTTCAGGAGCCGTGGGTTGTCAGACGGACATTCGTGCAGCTTTCCATCAGATTGTACTCACTGAGGAGGACCGTCAGTTCGTGCAGCTGCTGTGGGCGGGCCAGCGGCTGAGGTTTCGCAGGGTCCCGTTTGGACTCACCTGTTCGCCCTACATGCTGCTGTGCACTATCGCTGAGCACGTCCGCCGGTGTCTGCGCGATGAACCTGTTCTGTTGCAGAAGGTTCAGGATTCCGTCTACATGGACGACATGTGCCCGTCCTTCAGTACGAGGGCGGAGGCAGAGGCCGGACTGACGAAGATGGGTGACGTCTTCAGCGAGGCCTCCATGGATCTTCACAAGACCAGGATGTCTGGTGACGACACTGAGGACGAGAAGGTGCTCGGCCTACTGTGGAGCACAAGATCGGATCGTCTGGCCGTGACCGTGCCACAGGTGACCTGCCCTGGCACCCGGACTGAGCTGCTATCTGCTGTGAGTAGACCGTTTGATCCGCTCGGCGTGGTGACGCCGTGGCTGATCTGGGGGAAGGCCCTGTTTCAGCGTACCTGGCTTGACGCTGAATGCACGTGGGATAGTCCCCTGAGTGGGGAGCTGCAGACCGAGGTCCGAGCCTGGTGGAGAGACTCGCCGGGGAGGGTGATCTGGTTCCCTCGCCTAGCCGGAGCGCGTGACGATCAGTCCGGAGCGACTTTTCACGTGTTTTGTGACGCGTCTCGGACCGCCTACTGCGCGGTGGTGTATGTGGTCCAGGGTGGGGAGCCTGCCCTGGTGATGTCGAAGAGTAGGCTGGCCCCCCTGTCTCCACATCTAACGATCCCCAGGCTGGAGCTGATGGCCGCTGTTGTTGGAGCCAGGTTGATGGACTTCATCAAGAACGCGCTGTATCTGGAGAGCGCAACAGTCACCTACTGGTCCGACTCGACCGACGTGCTTCACTGGCTCAACCGGAGGCGGCCTCTCAAGATGTTCGTGGAGAACCGGGTGAAGACTGTGCTTCAGTTGACGACCGCCGATCAGTGGAGGTACGTCAGAGGCTCTGATAACCCCGCTGACATAGGCACGAGGGGGGTAACGCTGACGTCTCTCATCGCCTGTGACAAGTGGTGGAAGGGTCCACCATTTGATTTGAGTCCGCCTGACTATGATGTCTCGTCAGTGCCACTGACACCTCCCTCAGCAGAAGCCGAAGCAGAGACGAGGCCCGAGGTCAGACGTCAGGTCGTGGCCGTGAGACGAGAGTGTGGCCCTGATCCGATTCCGGACGTCATGCGTGGACCGTTTGATGTGACTCGGTGTTCTCATCTCAAGCAGGCAGTGAACCGCACCGCGTGGATTCTTCGGTTCGCGCACAACGCCAGGCACCAGCGCACGGAGAGGAGGAGTGGAGCTCTGTCACCCGAGGAGCGCCGGGAGGCGCTGCTGTTCTGGATCCGGGTCTCGCAGAGTGCCGCCTACGCGCCGGAGCTGGAGGCGCTGACGGCAGGCGCGCCGCTGCCACCCAACTCGCGACTCGAAAAGGTCAGACCTCGTCTAAACGCAGATGGCGTCCTAGAAGCAGTCACGCGAACTCACGAACCTGCTCTGATCATTCTGCCTGAGTTTGCCCATCTGACCACCTTGATAGTGGATGATGCACACCGTAAATCGTTTCACCAGGGTACCCGCACCACACTGGCACTGCTGTCTGGTGAATACTGGGTGAGGAGACGAACTGTTCATCGTGTGGTCAGTACATGCTTCAGGTGCCGGAGGTACCGGGGTGCGCCGTACCGGTCAGCTGATGGCGCGCTGCCCCTGTTCAGGACGGAGCCCAGTCGTCCGTTCAGTCGGGTCGGTGTGGACTTTTTCGGTCCGATGTACGTCAAGGGCGGCGACAAGGTATGGGTACTGCTGCTGACCTGTGCCTCGTCGCGAGCTGTGCATCTCGAACTGTGTAAGACTCAGAATGTCGCTGACGTCAAGCTGGCTTTGCGCCGCTTCTTTGCGCTACGTGGCACCCCATCGCTAGTTGTGAGTGACAATGCCAGAACGTTTCATGCCCTGCTCGGGCACCTACCTGCAGCTGTGACCTGGCGCTTTGTACCCGAGGCGGCGCCCTGGTGGGGCGGCTTCTGGGAACGTTTGGTCGGGATAACCAAGAAGTCCCTGCGCATTACCCTGCACCAGTGTTATCTTACCCATGAGGAGTTGGCAGTCACCCTGTATGAGTTGGCCTTACAACTGAACTTCCGACCTCTCACCCCAGGTGACGACGACGTGCTGACGCCCGCGCACCTGTTGTTCGGGGTCACGTCCATCCGTGGCGTGCTCTCTCCGTCTGGCCACGAGCTGGACAGCCTGAGTCGGCGCTGGCGGCACCAGCGGCTGGTCAGCGAGCACCTGGTTCAGCGATGGACCAAAGAGTACCTGCAGACTCTACGCACGTGGAGCTTCTCTCGGCGCGGCCGTCCGGTTCGGCTGCCCGAGGTCGGAGAGATTGTGCTGGTGCACGCGGAAGGTCCGCGTGGTCGCTGGCCTCTGGCGCGCGTGGTGTCCCTCCTGTCTGGAGCGGACGGCCGCGCTCGCGCGGCGAGTATCGTGCTAAGAGGGCGACTTACCCGCCGCCCGATCAACAAACTGTTGAGACTAGAGGCGTCGGAGTGAAGTGAGCGTCGGCGAGGCGAGTGCCGAAAAAAAAGTGACTTGTGTGCTGAGTGAGGAGAGACTTTTCGAAGTGACGGCTCACTTCGAAAGTGGGGAGTATGTCGCTATTCGTTACTGCCCTGTGACCTTTTTTTCTCCTCATGTTACCGTACCGTATTTGTTTTCCATCATTACTGTGTTGTATCCTACCTTTCCTTTACGCCCCGTCATTTTATTTTACTCATGGCAGCCCATTTGGTAACCCCTGCATCCTTCACGAATATTTTTCCTAACCGCGCCGATTTCGCTTTGTTGTCGTATTTCGTTCTGAGTTCTGTCGCCTCCGCCGCCGTGTGAGGTTGTGTACCGCCAGTGTGCTATCTGCTGCCACCACCGCCACCAATATAATTGAAGTGCTCATATATTCAAGTTTTTAAGTCAAACCAGAGAGCCGGCCCTATTTATTTCATTTTGATTTTCAACAGCAAGCTGCTATCACGTTTCGCGAGCTGACGTCATGTCGTGACGCCATACTGTTGTCGTAATGGGTAGTTCCGGCGCACGATTGCCGCGACCTTGGCGGCGGCATTAAGTGACGTATGAGCCTAAAAGTAAGAGTTTACGCAGTCATGATAGTATATATATTTTTGATATATATTTTTTCAATATGATGTATTTAAAAGAAGTTGGGTTTAGGAAAAAATTTTGACATTAACTTCGAACATTTAGCTGATGACGTAAAACAATATTGCGGCAATCGTGCGCCAGAATTGCCCCTTACGTCAGCAGTATGACGTCATCACATTACGTCAGCTCGCGCAATTTGATAGTAGCTTGCTGCTATCACCGGTGAAACAGGGCCCCTATAGCTCCTCAGGTCGGCAACAGTTGAAGCCTCATCTGGACTAGTGAAAAAAGCGAGGGTAAGGAACCTTGTGTTGCTTTTTCTTTTACCGTTATAATTATCTCAAACCATCACAATTTTGAGTTGCCACATTGTCTGGTTCACTACATTCGTGTAAAACTTGGTGAAGGCTGGTGGCTCAAAGAAAGGTGAAGATATTTCTTTAAGTGCCTAATCCGTGAAATATCCCGGCTTTACAAATCTACACTTTTCATTTTTTCCACTATACATTTTTTAAAATTGTTAAAATTTATTCAACATTTGTTAAAAGGGGCTTTGGTTTTGTGTAAACTAGATCATAAAGTTTACTATAGTTTTGTGCAAAACCTGGTGGCTGAAGAAAATAGTAATTTTGCTAAAATGATGTGCGGAAATTTGTTGCTTTCCAATTTCCAAATCAAATTACTCATACCTATATTTCATTCAAAATTAGGAGGCATTATTACTGTTTTTTCTTGCAACATGAACTGAGTTTGGGTACAGTGCTCCGGAAACGTTGTGGAACTTTAAGCTAGCTAGAGCAGTTTCCATAAAAATTGTTTAGATAGTTGACATGTTATGTTGACAACGGTTTTGCTGTTTCTAAAAAAGTGAAAAATATTTTCCTGCATTAAACAGACAAGGCATGTTATTCTCATAAGCTATCGAATGTGTGTGCGTGTGTGTTTTTTTAAGCTGTCAATTGTAACTTCAGTTACTTCACTTTAGAACATATTGCCCAGAATGCGTCACTGATCATGAGCTGGTATATCATATCATATGTAGCAAATACATAAATGGGAATAGTGTGTCATGAATTTTTGTGCATGCTTCTGGATCATCTGTAATTACATCAAAGGCTCGGCTCAAGAGTGTCCTGCCGACCAGCTTATGCCCAACCCTTTCTGTCCGCAGAACGTCTTCCGTCGCCTGCGACTCCCGCACGCCGTTTGCGCCCCGGCCGTCCGTACCGGTCTTCGCGCTGCGAGCCGCGCTGCTGGAGTTCGCGGCGGCGTCGTGGAGCTCCCATCGGGACAACGTGTGATGCCTGCGTCGAGCTTATAAGCCATGAGCTTCGATTGGCGGCTCACGCGGTCACCAGCTGTATGTACAGCCTCGGCCCCGACGACCCCGCTAATGGCCGAGACCGGCATACCCCCTGCATGGGTCCGCTGTCCGGCGCAGCGCTGGCCGCCCGCATGTTACGTTTGGCTGTATCGCTGCCCAGCGGGAGCGCGCTCCACGCTGCGGTAGAGGTACACGTTGCGACCCGACTGAGGACCGCAACCGGATGGTGAGACGTCGGCCTCTGCGCCCTGGCCGGGGTAGGCGTGACCGACGTCACAGTGGAGGAACACCCAAACAAGACCAGCCCACCGTCGGAGCAGCATGGAAATATCATGTTCTGCCTGGACGTCGGACCCGGCGGCCGCAGAGCACCTGCACACGTGCGGAGAGGGGCGCTGGAGGCGCGGCTTCTGACATCCCGCGGCGCGGCTGCTGGCAATACCTGACAACGGCGGCAATGGAGGCGGTTGGGAACAGCTGCAGCAATGGTGATGGCGGTGATGGCGACATGGCGGTTTGGGACTTCATCTCAGCGCGGCCGCCGCCCAGGCGCCGCTGCGCCCGGCTGCTCAGCCACCTACCGGATGGCGGGGTGGCCCTTACGGCCCTCACGCCCGTTCGGTCTGCGGCCACGTTCTGGGGTGGCGGTCGCGGGGTTAGCGGCGTTGGACTTCGTCCTTTATCCAGACTGCACCGTACCATCTGAACGGATGGATCTGCCAAGAAAGATGACATCCAAGGTGGCTATGAGGCGATCACAAAGCTTCAGCAAGAGCTTCTCCTTCAAAGGGCCGGCCGGCCGTTAAGTCGCAACACCGGCTGCCGAGTGCCAACAGCTGCGTGCGCTGGCGCCGACGCGTTGTGGGCCGCGCTGCTGACGCTCAAGCTGCGATATCAACCATCTATGAATAAGTGGCAGCGGTGGCGGCTTGTCAGTTGTTAACGTGCCTTTGCAGACGTTGTGAATAGCCCGCGTTGGAATCGCATGGTTGGCAACACCACGCAAGCTAAAATGGGCTTCCTTGATGAACCTACTTTTTAAGCATTGTAGCCTTTGTAATTTTTGATGTTTTGCTGTAGGTATTATTTTCTACATATATACTATATAGGCACTCACGTGCTTTGAATCGCGCAATGCAATTGAACCATGGTAAAGACAATGATAAATGAACTGAGAGCTGACATGCCCCATGCTTTGTGTGTGTGTGTGTTTTTTTTTTTTTTTGGCGAGTCGATAAAAGTGGTTTTGGACACTGGATGAGTTTTTAGGGGTGTGGTGAGGGGGAATGTAATTCCACAGACCTTTTGTCAGATTCACCAATGCAGTAGGTCTGTGCGGTATTTAGATATCGGAGCATTCTTTGAAAGTCGTGAATAGGGCAACTGAGTACCTACCTATAGCCGTGATATCCCCTCACAAAAACTTCTTTTAAATAACCGGGGATAAGTACATAAGCAGAGTAATTGCTATTACGAACACCTAGGTATCACAATGCTGAGCGAATAGGAAAATCTATAGATGGAGAATTGTGCCGCGTTACGGGTGCTCGGGCGCAGCCAATCCAGCGTTACCCCAGCGGTGACCTTGACCCGCATCGTCTGTCTCGGCTCCAAAGCCAAACCGGCGTGGAATTGGGAGCGCTCGAGCACTCATGGTCCAGCGCAATTCTCCACCTGAATCCATTCCTGATACACATTTGCTTGCTCATAGTCATGTAACCCCGGTAAATTCATCTAACTTTCATATTGGTCGCTCCATAGACAGATGGCCACAGATATCAACTTAAAAGGCCATTGTTGCATTCATTTAGTGGAGATCATTAAAGAGCCGTGATAGGCCACAAGTCGCGTGACATCATACGTGTAACAACCAATAACGTCGGCCTGCAAAACCCAATGGAAGCGGCTAGCAGCGTGCAATAAAACAGGGCGCTGCTTTCTAAATGTCTGTCGTGCGCCATAAATGAATATATCTTTTGTAGTGTGGCAACTCAGTATCTTTTTTTAACTATTGTACTAGTATTTAATAATTTCATAATTTCATAATTGTGCTTACGCTTTATGTTGATGTTAGTGATAAATCCTTAGATAAAGTAAATCGATGTGATATTTAATAGAAAAATAGCAAACTAACGCGCCATTCATTCGAAAGCTGGTAAACCTACTAAAAAGAGCTACTAAAATTCCTGAGGAACCAAAGGATTATATTGGTATCAAATAGATGCCTGCTATTCCGTCGTGAAAACGGCCATTGTGAAATTGAAAATTGAGGGAAGAGATAGATGAAAGGATGAGAGAGAGAGAGAGAGAGAGAGAGAGAGAGAGAGAGAGAGAGAGAGAGAGAGAGAGAGAGGAGAGAGAGAGAGAGAGAGAGAGAGAGAGAGAGAGAGAGAGAGAGAGAGAGAGAGAGAGAGAGAGAGAGAGAGAGAGAGAGAGAGAGAGAGAGAGAGAGAGAGAGAGAGAGAGAGAGAGAGAGAGAGAGAGAGAGAGCTGTATATGTGAGATGCGTGCCGTTGGAGACTGACCTCCAGGGGTGCGGGTTGAAGCCCGAACATTTCTCCTGACAGCCGAGACATGGCTGACCGCTGTCAGCCTCCGAGATCACCACGCTCTGCAACACAGTACACAAGGGGGCGCGTCAGAGGAGGGGCGAAACGCACTTACACACAGACAAGGGGGCGAGTCAGATAAGCGGAGAAACGCACACAGACAAGAGGAGGAATGTCAGATGCGGGCTGAAATGCAGTGAAGTGAAATGCAGTGACAAGGAGGCACGTCCCTGTGGAGTAAAATGCAGCGATGTGCAGACAAGAAGGCACGTCAGATGCCGGATAAAACGCAATGTATATAGTTTTCGGCTTTGAACTCGCTGCAGGATCTTGTATATTGCTGAGAGTGGGACAGAAGGTTTTTTAGAGAAAGAGAATCAAGTCTAGAGTGTTAGCAAAATCGGGCCTGCGCTTTTCACGTCAATTATTTAGCGGCAAACGGTGACAAACGGTTCTCGATTTCTGAACGTTGACAGACAAAATGTTGATTAATATCGACATCCAAATGTCACCTATAAATCAAGTAAAAGTCTCTCACTGGGTCTAATTCTGAAATGACTTTAAATTGGAACCTTAATTATAAAATGTGAAAAAAAACGTGAAAATGCCGACGGGAACGTCGCGTTTCAATTAAATCAAATTGGACAACAAGATGCATTATTTAAATATTCTTCTTGCGCAGGCACGATTGATCTTTTTCTCATGAATAACACTGCGACGAACCTTTCCACGTGCTCGTAAGGGCAGTATCAGTGCAAATGATCAGTCAGCCTGTCTGCTATCAGTGCACTTTCAGCTTAACCAGCGCTGTGACCGGTCGTGGGACCGTCTCTGTGACCAGCACTGATCCGACACCAGCCCGGTGACCAGTCCAGTCACCAGTCTGGCTCCGCTCCGTCGCTGACGAGATTGATGACAAACTGTTGAACGGCTCCCAACGCTAACAGCGTGGGCCACGGCCGGCTGATTA